GCGCGGCCCCGCCCCGTGCCCTCGGCGGCGCCCCACCCCCACCGGGCTCTTCCCGCCTGCCCGCTTCATTCATCTCTACTGAGCGACGACTGTGCTTAGCACTGCGAGGCACCGATGTGTAAATCGAAAACTGCTGCCTAGGAGGGATCCGTACTCTGATGCGGCAGTCTAAGCGGGTTTAGAAGCCCCAAGAAGGGGCCTCAGTTTTCTCACGGGGAGACCCTCTGACCTAAGCCAGGTGGGTGGCGGCTAAGAATCCGGACCTGAGCTGGAGGAGACGTTGTGGACCCTGAAGACCTTGGAGGTCGCCTTGGGGAGATGCGCTGGCCAGGTCCTCTCCCTCTCAGGCCTGCAGTGAGGGCAGAAGCAGGAAGGTGATGGCCCAAGTGTTAGGCCCTCACTGGCTAGTCAGGGCGCTAAAGGAGCAGGACCTTGGGAAGGAGTAAACCCTCTGCCAGGCTGTGACAGATGTTCTCAGGGGTTTCCTCTTCCCAGTGTTGGCGACCTGATGCTGGCGCTGCCTTGCCCAGGGTTCAGGAGGGGCCACAGCTGAACGAGGTTTTGGCTGAGTGAAGTGGCCAGAGGAATTGATGGGTACAGGTGCCCAGTCCAGCACTGGAAGGGTGGAGCATCCTGCCTAGAAGTAGAGAATCTTAGAATGCTCCTTGGGAAGGGGGCGACCCTATCTCCCTTAGGCACACTCTCTCACTTCATCCCACTGCGCAGGAGGTTATGAGCAGAGAGGTTGAGCCATGTGCCCAAGTGCACCCAGTAAATAAGGGCAGAGCTGCCCAGACTCCTGCTCCAGCCATCATATTTGCTAGATTTCTCAAGCTAGGGCCTGTAAGGTGGAGGCACTCACCCCTGGGAACAAAACAATTACCTGGAGGTAGGGAGAAAATATTTCAATTTTGATTTCTAATAAGAAAGAAGGTGAGCTTTAAAAATAACTTAATATTCAGATTGACACTAGTGAACTCTTTTTGTCTACTGGTCAGATGGTCCCAGAGCACTCCCAAGGAGGCATGGAGGTCCTCAGAGGCTATACAGCAATGTTTTTGCCTGTTTGTTGCTCTCCTATAGGGGATATCTCAGACAGGATCCTGGTAGGAAACAGGAGCACTCAGTGGAATTTACTGAGGAGAATTTAATAAAGGTGATTTTATAACAGACTGGGCAGAGTTAAGGGAAACCAATGAGGACAGGCACAGTCTTAGAGGGTGGCAGCAGTTACCACTCCGGAGTGAAGGAGAGGGCCACAGTGCAGGGTGGAGGGGGTGCATAGAGTAGATCTGAAGGGACCATTGGCCTGTGCCTGATTAGCTGACATTATCTAGTTTTAAGAAAACTAACAGTCACAGAATGGACTTGTGGCTGCCAAAGATTCCTGAGAAGAAAGCGAGGATGGAAGACAATGCTAATACTGCAAGATGAGCGAAAAGGTAGAGCTGACGTTTCCATCCCCAGTTGGAGGACCTTGTCAGCAACATTTCCAGTGAAACCAGTGACTGGCTTATTAGAAATGATGTATTCTGCCACATAGCTCATACAAGGTATTAAGTGTTTTTTTAACTGAAAGCAAAAAAAGGAATTTTGTATTTTTAATGAATAAAATCATTCAAATATTGTTTATCTTATCTTTAGATAAGATAAATTGTTTTTGCACTGTTATATGATGAATGTATTTTATTATTTGTATAGTCAAGTATGTATATAATTTATGAGTGAATAGGTCTACGTGTGCATGTGATAGGGCACAAATCTTAATTTAGGTGCAAATTAAGAGCTCTGGCTTGGATGTGTTAGATTTTAGATGCCCATTTGCAATCCAAGTGGCAAATATATCTCAATAATATTTTACTGATGGGATTCATAATAAAAATTTTTTAGACGAGAGGTTGAGAATTCTGTGGGAAAGTCTTGATTACTCCAGGTCAGTCATCAGGATTTGTCCAAACTGGTGCCTGGCTGAACATAAGCTGGTGACAAATGAGAGGCTCTGTGGGGACACTGTCACAGGATGAGCCTAAGACTGTTACCCAAGGCAAAGACCAGAGCCTGAGGTGTCCTAGCCTGGGTATGAAAAGAGAGCTGACATTATTGGATCCCTGCTGTCAGACACAGTCTGTCTCCTCACTCAGACATGTGGCTCAGTGACTCCCTCTCCTCTCCTTGAATTGCAGACAAAAGGACCCAGATGTCTACTTGGCATCTTCACTTGGATGACAAATGGGCACCTCAAACTTAATGCATCCAGGCCAGAGTTCTTAATTTGTTCCCAGATTTGCTCCCCCCAGGTGTTTCTCATCTCGGTAAATGCTACCACCATCATCTAGTGTAGTTCAGGCCCAAACTTGCAAGCATCCTCAACTTGTCTCATTCTCCCTACTCCTTGCATCTGATCCATCAGCAAATCCTATTGGCTCTCTGTACAACATATATCCAGAATTCCGTCACTTCTCCCTTCTCCTTTGTCTAGCTGGGCTTTCAGTGCAACAGCCCCAAGTCTGTCCCCCTGTTACCCTTCAGAGCCCCACACGTGGGACAAGGTATGACATTTCCTTGCTTTTAAATCCAAAGCCCTTACTTTGACCCTTATAGAACCTAGCCCCTGGCTACTTCTTTGCACTTATTTCTTCACTCCTTGCTCACTTTTGTTAACCAAGGTACACCTCTCTGCTGTTCTGACTTCCCGGGCAGGTGCTTATCACAGAGTCTTTGGCCTGAGGTCAGGCATCCCCAACCAGTCCAAGTAATTTAACATTCTTTGTCACTCTCTCCTTCCCTGGCTTTTAATCTTCGTAGCAGAGATTCACCTGCCATTAGAATTAATCACTTATTCACTGTATTAGTTTCCTGTGGCTGTCATAATAAATTACCACAAACTTGGCCCTTAAAACAACAGAAATTAATTTTCTCACAGTTCTGAAGGCCAGAAGTCCCAAATCAGTTTTCCTGAGCCAAAGTCAAGGGCTGCACTTTTTCCAGAGACTCTAGAGGAGAATCAGTTCCTTTCCTCTTCCAGCTTCTTCTTGTTTTTTAAAAAAATTGCAGTAAAGAACACATAATGTAAATTTACCATCTTAACCATTTTAAGTGTACATTTCAATAGTGCTAAGTATATTTATACTGTTGTGAAACAAATCTCCAAAACTTTTCATCTTGCAAATCTAAAATTCAGTACACATTAAACAACAACTGCCTTCTCCTCCTCTCTCATTTTATGGTAACCACTATTCTACTTTCTGTTTCTATGAATCTGGTTATTTTAGATGCCGCGTATAAGTAGAATCATACAATATTTGTCTCGTGACTAGCTTATTTCACTTAGCATACTATCCTCTAGGTTCTTCCATGTTTTAGCATCTGACGTTTCCTTTTCTTTTAAAGCTGAATAATATTCCATTGTCTGTATGTATCACATTTTGTTTATCCATTTATCCATCTGTAGACATGGTAGGTTGCTTTCACCTCTTGGCTATTGTGAATAGTGCTGTTAAGAACATTAGTGTGCAAATATTTCTTAAGAGACCTTAATTTCAATTCTTTTGGATAAATACCCAGAGGTGGGATTGCTGGATCATATGATATAGTTCTATTTTCAAGTTTTTGAGGACTCTCCACACTGTTTTTCACAGAGGCTTCACCATTTTGTGTTCCCACCAATAGCGTATAGTGGTTCCAATTTCTCCACATCTTTGTCAATACTTGTTATTTTCTGCTTTTTTGATGGTAACCATTGTAATAGATGTGAAGTAATATTTCATTGGTTTTGACTTGCATTTCTCTGCTGGTTAGTGACGTTGGGCATCTTTTCAATTGTTTGTTGGCCATTTGTATATTATCTTTGGAGAAATGTCTATTGAAGTCCTTTGCCCATTTTTTAATCCAGTTATTTGATTTATTGTTGTTGAGTTGTAGGAGTTTTTTATATATTCTGAATATTAACTTTTTATCATGTATATGGTTTGCAAATATTTTCTCTGGCTCTGCAGGTTGTCCTTTTACTATGTTGACTCTGTCCTTTGATGCACAGAAGTTTTAAGTCTGATATAGTTTCATTTGCCTTTTTTCTTTTGTTGCTTGTGCTATTTGTGTCATATCTGTAAAATCATCGCCAAATCCAATGTCATGAAGACTTCCCTCTGTATTTTTGCTAGGAAACATAGAATTTTCCTAGAGGAAACTTATAGTTTTGAGTCTTACGTTTAAATCTTCAATCCATTTTGAGTTAATTTTTGTCTATGGTGTAAGGTAAGGGTTTAACTTCCTTTGTGTGGTATTCAGTTTTCCCAACACCATTTGTTGAAGAGATTGCCCTTCCTTCATTGAGTGTTCCCGGCATCCTTGTCAAAGATCATTTGACCAAATATGTGAAGGTTTTTCTCTGGGCTCTCTATTCTATTCCGTTGATCTGTCTTTATGCCAATACCATATTGTTTTGATTACTGTTTAATTTGATTACTTTTTAATATGTTTTGAAATCAGGAAGTGTGAGTCCTCCAACTTTGTTGTTCTTTTTCAAAATTATTTGGTCCTTGAGATTTGGGGATGAATTTTTCTATTTCTGCAAAAGATACCATTGGAATTCTGATGGAGATTGCATTAACTCTGTAGATGTCTTTGGGTATTTTGGACATTTTAACGATATTAAGTCTTTCAATCCATGAATATGGGATCTTTTTATATATTTGTGTCTTCTTTAATTTCTTTCAGCAAAGTTTCTAGTTTTCAATGTACAAGTCTTTCTCTTCCAGGGTTA